CAGACCCAAAGTAAAACTGTTGTGGAGGAGGTGTCCTCTTTCTACATAAAAGTAACCTTTACAACAATTTAATTTTGTCTCACAATCCAATTGAAAAGTGTGGCGTGGAATTCCCCCACTCTCCACATGACATCAGTTTCTGTGACTCTTTTACGGATTCCACGCAGTCTGCCCTTGATCTTTTTTCAGACAGACATATTCAATAGCAAAAACGAACCAACAAAACAACAACAACAAAGAAAACAAAAAAACAAACAAATAAAAAAACCAAAACGTCTGAAAATGGGAATCGAGCTCACATTTTCTGAGTGCATGAGTGCGTCGGCAAAGGGCCTAATTGAGACATTATAGGAGCCTGCTTCTGTTGCGATGACTGTAAAGAAAGAAGATAAACTGATGCTCTGCCATCTTGTGTGTCCTGGTTTACTACATGAATACCTGCTTTGCTAACCTTATACGTACGCCCTGGGGTCATTTTGTACCCCTGGGGTTGTATTCTTCACTTTTTAGAATACTCCAAGTACGAAGATCTCTTTGAAACTTTAAGTATTTCTCAAAAAATCATTTTGACAGACTGCTATGCAAAGCTTACAGATCGGATTAACGAGTAAATTTCTTCTTTGGAAAGTGGTGGCACAGAGTTCCCCATGTCGTATGGATACAGTAGTAAAACCCAACGTACGGGCAGGGTTAAGTTGATAAAGTGTACAGTCCATCTTTAACGAACTACTGCTGGCGAAACCAAATGCGCTCAACGTTCGTCTATGTGCAGTGGTTAGGGTCTCCAGCGTCGAAAACAGAAGACGAGAGTCCGATTACCGTGTGTGGAAACTATTCAACTGAATTAAATTATATCTCTGTATGTTAGTGTTAGTTTCTCATTAGTCTTGGGTTGGCCTCGTTAGCAAGGTCAGACCACTTTTTTTTTCTTTTGCCAGTACGGAAAAGGGGGCGGGGGAATACTTACAAGCTTTTCAAATCTAAACCGGCGTCAAATTTTATTGAACTAGAGATGTGGTTAGATTGACCTAATTCCCCCACGGAGGTCAACGCATCTAGAAGATGAGACACCTAGGACCCAAGACCCAATAAATACGAAATCCTCTCGTTCTTAAAAGTCCTTCCTCCAAGATGCAGCCCTTTTGGACTTTTTGCCGCCGTATGCAGAAGATGCCAGTTCGATTTCCGAGTGGGCTACCTTATCTCCTTTTTTCTGATGGGATGCTGTATGCCGTTCAACCAAGGCTGGTCAGGTCAGGCAGGGTCGAAGCAGCCGGCCTCGGATTTTGTTTACCCTATCCGGAGGTCGTGTTTTACTATCGTATCCATACGACGTGGGGGACTCTGGGCCACCACTTTCTAAAGAAGAAATTTACTCCTTAATCCAGTCCGTACGCTTTGCATTGCAGTCTGTCAAAATGATTTTTTGAGAAATACTGAAAGTTTTAAAAAGAGATCTTCGCACTAGAAGTATTCTAAAATGTGAAGAATACAACCCAGGGGGTACAAAATGACCCCAGGCGTACGAATAGGATTAAATGCCAGATTTGAACCAACCCTAAATGATCAATATGTTGTTAAAGGTGGCGTAGAACACAGATAATATAATTTCAATTACACATTCAGAAACCGAATTGGAACTGTCAAGCTTCAGTCTAGTAAAAAAAAAAAAAAAAGAGCAAAAATCAAAAACAGTAGTCAAAATGGCCTTTGTTGTTGTTGTTTCTTCTTCTTCTTCTTCTTCTTCTTCTTCTTCTTCTTCTTCTTCTTCTTCTTCCTCTTCAACAGACAACGACAATGATGTTAAGCCATTCATTTCACTAAAAAAAAAGAGAAAAAAAAGAAAAAAAACATCCTGGTTTATTTTCCGTCTCTCATCTGCTCAAGTATCATCCAATACTCTTTTAGGTATTCTGTAAAAGCGGTCAAGTATCCGTTCTATTTTATAATATGTCATCAGCTTTCCCCCGACATTGATTCCGTTGACCTTCGAGTGAACCGACTAAGCCTATTACCGGGTGCGCCCACTACGGCTGGATAGGGCCGATCGCCCGACTCGATCGCCTGAAATTACTGAAAACAAACACGTTTGTTTTAAAAGGCGACAGAGTCGGGCGATCGGCCCGATCCGACGATCCCATCCGTAGTGGGCACCCCGTATATTAAAATAATATGTCTCCTTATGCGCGACATGACGTCTGTCGACCTGCTACGTATTTTGCCCAGTGGTGGTACTTTAAACCTATCACACACCCAGTCTGTCGCGCACGACAAAGTTTCGATCGCTACATGACCCGATTATGGGCAACAGTCGCCGCGCGCGAACAACAACAATAATAATATCAATAACAACAACAACAACAACAACAACAACAGCTTTAACAACGAAAACCTTCACAGGTTACACAAAACTAATAGCGCGGTCAAAAATTCGTGGCGCAACTTATCCTCAAATATCTCTTTAATAGGTGAATCAAAGTTATCCATACTTTGCACAGCAGTTTGTATCAACTAAATCATATTCTTCAACAACAATTGAGGCTTGATTTAGAAAACTGTTCTCACAAATTTATTTTTTAGAATAGAATCTATTGTAAATTATAACTCTCCGTCACGCGGAAAATAGGATTGTTCACAGCATTTCCCGCTTCTCACGCACATTTTGCATACGCATATAGCTAACGTCACAGCTAACCAACTTCACTTTTTATTTGCCTAACTTGTAACAAGAAATCCAGTCTATACCGTACTTGAAGTTGACAATAAGTTGTGCCACGAATGTTTTACCACACTAGAGTTGTTTGACATTATAATAAAGTTATTTCCTTGAAATTCAGTGTTTTATGTCTCTGTGGCTTGCAGAATAACAGAACACACACAATATTTTTATATCATTACATGCAAGACATGGTGATGAAATAAGGCGTGCGTCAAATTAACATAATCAAAGATAGTGGCATTTCCGCGCCAGTTTGGCAATTTTTATCAATTTTTAATTCGCTCACTACCTTTCATATCTATTGTTAAATAATTTGCTATGTGAATTTTACTGGAAAAACGCTGGTTAAAGGCACGGAAATGTAAATTTTCAGATTCCAAGGGCTCTCACGCCGTTAAAATCATCAAACTTTGGCGGCAATTTTCTCATTATTTTTACTTCTGAAACCAGACGACCTCCACCTCTTTCTATCGCAAATATCTCAAATTCTATTCAAAATAGATAGGGTTTAATTTTTGTCAAAGGATAGGTAAATGAACATGCTCTAAGGTGATACCAATAACCCGACATGCCCAAATATTGAGAAACGCCTGACTACACTGTATTGCGACACAATAAATATTATAGCATGTGTGTGTTTGTGTGTGAGTGAGTGTGTGTGTTTGAGGGAGTGTGTGTGTGTGTGTGTGTGTGTGAGAGAGAGTGTATGTGTGTGTGAGTGAGTCTGTATGTGCGTGAGTGGGTGTGTATGTATATGTGTGTGTGTGTGTGTGTGTGAGTGTGTGTGTGTGTGTGTGTGTGTGTGTGTGTGTGTGTGTGTGTGTGTGTGTGTGTGTGTGTGTGTGTGGACAAGTATTTGTATTAACCTCGTCCAACTCAACTACCCGCCCCCCCCCCAACCAATCCCCCTCCCCTACCCCCTTACCCCACCATGTTCCCACCGTGAGTCCACCGCTGTCCACAGTAGACGTTCCCCTGTTAAACCTAACTGGCTTCCATCAAAAGGAGAATTTTTAAACTCTCGTGTGTGGGTGGTTGGCGGGTGCTCTGGTGTGGTTTGCTCCTTCTTTCCTATCAAACATATATCGTCCTTATCTCCCCTTCTTCTTTTTAATGTTTGCTACTCTCTTGTAAAACCTCTAATCTTCTGGCGCTCATATCACCTTATGCAGAGCACCGTAAAACCTCTACTAAAACTTTTTTTTAAAAACAACTCTCGTTTATTCAGGATATTGAACAGGCCACGTCATGTACCTCACAATGACGTCGCACAGCTCACGTGTCACGTGGGCAGACAGGAATAGGCGGGAAACAATAGCCTTGAGTGGTGACGATGAGGGACCTATGACCTTGAAGAGGTTGTTACGGATTCTGGGTATGACACTATTGTTTCGCTTAGTATTACTGTTGTTGTTGTTGTTGGTGGTGGTGGTGGTGGTGTTGTTGTCGGTATTGTTGTTGTTGTTGGTGGTGGTGGTGGTGGTGGTGGTAGTGTTGTTGTTGTTGTTGTTGTTGGTGTTGTTGTTGTCGGTGTTGTTGTTGTTGTTGGTGGTGGTGGTGGTGGTGGTGGTGGTAGTGTTGTTGTTGTTGTTGTTGTTGTTGTTGTTGTTGTTGTTGTATTTAATTATTACTTACTCACTCACTCCCTATACCGTCAGATACTTAGAGCGGAGAGCAGTCGACGCCATGCTTGCCTGCCTGGCCACGTCCTCCAATTTCGGCACATCCAGGCCCTGGCCGATTGCCTCATCCTTTATTGTTGTCTTTATAGATCTAGCTTCTTGATGGTTTTCCTCGTTTTCTTTTTGCCAGTTGGTCTCCAATACCATGACGTCTGATAGGGCAATCTTGTCTTGGGCATTTCTAGAATATGTACTAGATATCTCAATTTTCTCCTTTTTATGACCGTGTTGATATCTTCATTTCCAGCTCTTTTCAACACTTCATTACTTACTTACTTTTAACTTTTTCCTTCCTCTGGTATCCTTAAGATGTCGAGGGCAGGTACAAGTTTAGGTCCTGCACTAGGTGTTTAGCGTCAGTGATAGATGTTATGCTGTTCCAGGACCTTTTTAAACCCATCCTGCGTGGTATTTCTTGGTCTTCCTCTTGATTTGAAGCCGGATTCTTCGGTGTTGTAAGCTCTAGCCGCTTGCTAGTTGTTTTTGAGACATTCGGGTAAGATGTCCACACCATTTATTGACTCTTTGACGCTCTATAACTTTTATTACTGGTGATATTCCGGCTTGTAGACGTATGGTTTCGTTTCTTATGCGGTCTCTACTGGTGACGATGTTTTTTGCGGAGACACCTTATTTCGCTTGCATTGATTTCTCTTTCTTGTGCCTTGTTTGGATACCTTGTTTGGCACTGGTATGTTAAGGTTGGTATGAAGATGCTATTGATGAGCGGGGATGTCACTTCGGTTGTGATGTTCTTGTGACTGAGCAGGGGTGCTAGCTGGTAGGTCACTGCATTTGCCTTCCCAGCTCTTGTTTCTATTTCTTTTTACATACGCCCATCTTGTGTGAGGATGGTTCCTAAATGTTTAAATTCTTCTACTTATTGGAATTGTGTTCCTTCAACAAGGATACTGCGTTTCCCTGGGTTTCTGCTGACCTTCATAACTTCTGTTTTTAAAATGATTTACATTCCTCACTTAGTTTCCTAGTGTCTTTTTGTAATTCTTCTTCATCTGCATTTAATATACTCTGGTCATCAACATATAGAAGCAACACTTCATTATTTGTAATAAATTCATTCCACTTAATTAGTAACATTTTTCGTAAACATTTTGTTTGGAAGCTTTTTAATTTTCGTTGAACTGATTTGTTTATTTTCCAGATCTCTGAACCATACGACAATACAGCCAAAATATTGCTATTATGCAATTATTTTTAATTTCGTCTTCAATGAAATGATATTTGACTTCCACATGGTTTTCACAAAAGCGATCCTTGCATGTTTAAGTCCTTGGTGGACGTCGTCAAGGCAGTCTGTAGTTTTGGATATAATGCAGCCAAGGTACATGTACTTGAATTTACTAATTTCTTCAAGGGGTTCTCCATAATGAGTGATGGTGGTTGGTTGGCGGGTGCTCTGATGTGGTTTGTTCTTTCTTTCCTGTTAAGCATCTATCGTCCTTATCTCTCCTCTTTCTTCTATGTGCATGTTACTCTCTTGCAACACCCCTATTCTTCGGCACGTATATGACCTTACTGTGTTGCAAGTGCCGTACAACTCATACTAAAACTAAAATAGTTATGGGCGTAGTTTCTGGGGCTACTCGTTGTATTTCTATGTTAGATACATTTATTATAAGGCCAACTTTTTTCTGCCTGCAGTTTTTGCTAGTTCGTTTTGTTTGTTTGTTTATTTTTTATTGCATTCCATGTACTGTGGTGTATAATAGGCAGATGTCATCCGCAAAATCTTAATCTCCTAAATATGTGCCATTTGTCCATTCAATGCCTGTTTCAATGTCTTTGCTCTGTGTCAATACAAAATCATTCACAACTCCAAAAAGTATAGGTGATAATATACAGCCTTGTCTAACAGAAGTATTTACTTCAAAAGTTGTAGATAGTTCTCCTTCAACTAGGATACAACAGCTTGCTTCGGTATATAATTATTTTATATAGTTTATAATTTTTTGGGGATGCCATAAATTACAGGGGTTTTGCACAGGGCCTCTCGGTCTATGCTGTCAAAGGCTTTTTTAAAGTCCACAAAGTTCAAAATAATTGGGACATTTTGAAAGGACCGAGCCAAATCAGAAATTTGTGTAAAGTGACTTTCCCAAGGACACAACATCGGACCGAGCAGAAACTAGAACCCCCCCCCCCCCCCCACTCCCAATCTCACGATTACGGGTCCGGCAGTCTTATAACCAATAGGCCAGTAATCAACACCACCATCAACACTTTATGTTAACGTAGGAAGGTTTCAATGGAAAAAAGGGGTATCACATGTTATTGCAAACGGAAATTCGTGAGGGTATCAATAATTCTTAGAGACACATAACCGCATGGTCGCCCAACTCTTGGCTGCTGTGTAAACGTACCTCAATAGTAGGTATGAGGCAGCATGGTGAAATCAAACGCTCGTCACAATTGTGAAATGGAAGAAACTGGCATTTTCCAACCAGTTTGGCAATTTTTATCAAACTTTTGTGGTTGTTGTTTTTGTGTTTTTTTTGCTCAACCCCTTTATTTTCCATTCAAAAACACATTTCTGTGTAGATTTTACTGAAAATCATTGATAAAAAGCACACAAAAAATGTAACATTTCACTTTCAATGGACTCTCAAGCTAAGGAAGTAAACACATTTTGGCTGCCATTTTCTCTCTCTAATTTTACCTTCGAAACCTGCCGACCCCATCTCCTTCAATCGCAAATATCTTGACTTCTATTCAAGGTAGATGAGTATTTTTATCATCAAAAGAAAGAGAAATGAACAATCGTTATGATGATACCAATAACTCCACCTGCACCAAAATTGACGAGCGCCTGATACCACCACGTTGTGACACAGATTACAACATAGCAAATCACGTGTACTGTATAAATGTACACCCATGATAGACTATAATTGAGCAAAATATGATACATGTAATATTAATTTTATAGTAATCAAAGGTTTCCATCATAACCTAGTCCAAATAGTTAATATATAAAAATATATTTACTTATGTATATACTTGTACGTACATACCTCCAAGCAACCCACACCACATAAGTAACAATCATCATCATCAATGCCTTTCACCCCTGGCAGGGTATAGGCCACCTACAAACTCCAATCTCTGTCCTGGGCCATCCTTCCAAGCTCGTTCAAAGTGAGCTTCATCTCTCTCGTGTCCCTTTAAACACATCTCCTCCCCCTGTTTCCCATGGCTTACCTCTGCTTCGTGCTCCCTGTGGGTTTCATTGAAGCGACTATCTTGTAATATTTCCACTGTGCTTTTTTAAGGTCTGTCCAATCCATTGCCACTTTCTTAGTCTATATTTCTGCTCCTATATTCTTCTGTCCTGTCCTTTTCTTCATTTCTTATTCTATCATGCCACTTAATTCTTAGGATACTCCTCATACATCTGTTGGTGAAACTCTGGGCTTTATTCAGCTCTGCCTTTGCTGTCTTCCAAGTTTCGTAGTCGTAGAGGAGCACAGACTTGACATTGGAATTAGAGAGTCGAATCTTGGTGCGCAGTGAGGCGTTCCTTGCTTTACGGGCATTTGAAAATTGGTTGAATGCTGACCTTGCATTAGCGGTTATTGCTTTAACATTTGCCTCAGTTCCACCTTTACCATCGATGACACTTTCAATGTAGGTAAAAGAGTCAACTTCTTCTAGGGGAGTGTCTTCCACTGTCTCTGCAGGGCTTGAAACTCTTCCTAGCTTCACTACTTTCGACTTACCCGGATGTATACGTAGGCCAACACTCCTTGATAGACTGTCTTTTATTGCATCTGACCATGTGTGTGAGAGAGCAGTGCAAGGTCTTTGGTGAAGTCTAAGTCGTCCAGGTGCTGCCAGGGGATCCACTGTATTTCAAGCGCTTGCCTCAAGTGGCTTCCTTCATGACCCAGTCAATTGCCAGTATGAAGAGAAAAGGTAGAGCAAGCATCCTTTTCGCACTCCTGTCTGTACCTGGAATGGTTCTGAGAGTTGTCCCTCGTGGAGGACTTGGCAATTTGTTCCATCATAAGTGGCCTTCACAAGCTTGGCGATTTTGTCAGGTATTCCAAAAGGCCGCATGAGTTTCCACAGAGTTTCCATGTCCACGCTGTCAAACGCCTTTTCATAATCAGTGAAGTTGACCACGAGTTCTGAATTCCATTCAACCCATTGCTCAACAATGATGTGCAGAGTAGCGATCTGATCCACACATGATCGGTTCTTGCGGAATCCTGCCAAGTTTCCTCAGAGTTTCTCGTCTGTTGCCAGCTTGATTCTCTCCTGGAGTATCCTGTTAAAGACTTTTCCAGGTGTGGACAGGAGTGTTATGCATCTGTACAAAGAAGTAACAATAGCCTTTTAATATTCTTTTCATGTTTTACCTCCTTCTCCCCAGGCATTGGCTGTCTGCTACTTTTTGCGATTGTGCTGAAAGGCTGTGTCTATATATGTGAGTAAAATGCGATATGTGCGCACAGAGAGAGGGGAGATAGATAGATAGATAAATAGATAGATAGATAGATAGATAGATAGATAGATAGATAGATAGATAGATAGATAGATAGATAGATAGATAGATAGATAGATAGATAGATAGATAGAGAGAGAGAGAGAGAGAGAGAGAGAGAGAGAGAGAGAGAGAGGAGAGGGAGAGGGAAAGAGATGTAAAAAAATGAGAACAGGGAGACGGGGGTAGAAGTGAAAGAAATAGAAAAGATAAAGTAGCGTAACACATATTAGAAACAGAAACATTTTACAGCCAACCCTGCAAATAACTGCAAATTTATTTCTCAGAGAAAAACATTTCAGGTTCCAACATTCCCTCAGTACACCATACTCTGTGGTTGTCATAGATCAAGTGTACGGAACTGACTCAAGTGCCAAAACTGCTAACATTTATTAAATTGGAATTTTTGCTGCTTTTCAAGATGCATCTTTTCATAATATTTTTCTTCTTTACGTGCCAGATCTAAAACAGACATTGGGGATCTTTTTTGCTTGTTTGGCTTCTCATTTCTCTTGTTTAAAACTTGTGACATTGAAACATCATTCCTTTTTATAAAGTACAATATTTTTTTTAACGTACATGTAATTTCATTACTTGTACAAATTACCAGAAACCAAGGCTGATAATAGCAATTTTCCAAAAGACTGATGATAATAATAATAATGATACGTAAGACTTAATAATATTATGCATTAGGTTTTCATAGGTCGATGTGGACTGTCAATTGCGAAAACCACAGGGCCTGACTGGGGATCTCTCTCTCTCTCTCTCTCTCTCTCTCTCTCTCTCTCT